ACTTGACTACCACAGTTGGGATACAACTTGTTGTAGGTCTCTTTCTGAATGGACCTAGTTCTCACATTGATCAATTTAATCTGTTTTCCATTAAGATATACCTATCTAGTAAATTCTAAATTCTCAATCTGAATACATCTTTATAACTTGATTGGAAAAATATTGTGCGTCAGAAAAGACTGTTAAAAACCCTTCCCAAAAGTGACACATTTTTGGTACCATCAGACTACCTATAAAAAGCAAAACAATGTGAAAATATTCTTCTAATACATTCTGTTCCACTTTATATCACATTATTTCTGATTTTCAAAATAAAATTTGCTTTAATATAATGTACTCAACCCTGTATCTTAAACTTTCAGAATTAAAATCCTACTGGTTAATACTATTATCCCCTTTTATAGCATTGTTTTATGCACATACTTCTGATTTGTATAATTTCACTTAAAATGAGTTAAGATAAGCATTAAACATGTTGATTGGCTTTCATTCAACAGCAGTTTTTAGCCACTTATATACGGGCAAGGAAAATGCTATTATGGTGTACTAAACAGCCTATAAACAAACCATTCAATAGGATTTTTTACATGTACTGTTATTTATTATCTCTATCTTCCAGGAGATGAGAGATGAAAGGTTTGTACTCTACAAGACACTATATGTGGTACTTTTTTAGTTAGTCTTAATGAATGTTGAAGATTACATATTTCATTGTAACCAAACTCAGTGATAATATTGTAATAATTATATTTTTGTGGTTTAGCAGACGTTTGTTTTAGTTATAGACATATCAATACACATTATGAATAACTTCTGACTTTAATATACCATCTTAAAAATACATTTTTTGTTTCAAGTGACGAACCAAGTGACGTGTTCTGTCTCAGTACACACACACACACACACACATTTTTAATCAAATACTCAAAACCAAAAGCTTAACAATCCATAAAACTGTAAATTTGTAACCTTACAGGCAAGGGAAATAAAAAACAAAAATCTCAATAAGACAGTGGAGTAATTCTATTTGGAAGCATGGCAAAGAGTTTCCTACATTAATTGAAAAATGCAATCCAAGGGCAATTAAAATTCTTTCATCTTTTAATAAACACAAACAGGGCTGCCGAGTGCTTTCATGGACCACAGGGAAGAACTGGTATGTGGGGCCCAATTTCTCCCTGGTTACGCAGGGCCCCAGGTAAATTTCCCTGTCCTCCTTACCCACTCAGTGAGCTACTAATGATCACATCAGAATTCCCCAAATTACTTATTTGTACTAATTATTTATAAATGAACCTTACATGTTACTTTGCAAAATGTTGTCTACTTACTGTACAAGTGAATGAAATGCTGATTTCCCCTACAGTTTTCTAGATGCAATATTTTTACTTTAGTTTTAATTCATTCTCTTATAACAGTACTACCGATTTATTTATTTTCCTGAAAGCAGTGCATATAGGGAGTAGTAGTTTCGTATGGTGTTCCTCACACCTCCAAATTCTGGAGGTGAATATCCGGGAGTAGGACTGACGTCCTAGTTCGGACACTGGGTGAGCATGCTTCGGTGTGACGGGGATTCGAACCCGCAACCCTCAGATTGCGAGTCAAGTGCCCTAACCACCTGGCCATGCCGGGCCTATATAGGGAGTATGTCAATGTGACATAACACTAAAGAAAAAACAATTGTGAAAATTTTAGAAACAATTAAAACACTGGTCCTCTTTTGTTTTACAAGATGGCAGTGTAATATGAGGGTGGCTATATGAAGTAAAGCTTCTTTAACAATATTGTGAATCACAAAACCCTCATAAAAGTGAAAGACATTAACTTGAAGTTAATAAAGGAATCATAGTGGTTGATCAATAGGCAAATATTAATATAAGTAAAGATAACTTTTATATTTCTACTTTAATCATCAGGCTTCTTGAGTATCACTAACTTTATCTTGTAAATAGATCACTTTCCACAGAAAAAAAAAGTAAGGCACGGCTGATTCAAGTATTTTACCAATTTCTGAAGAAATTTTTTGTTCCTTTATTATATTCACAAAAACTTAACCAATGAAAAAATAGATTAAGAACAGAATCAACTAGTTTTTATTTTTATTAAATATCATCTTAATTATTTATTAGATCGCCCCCTGAAATCTTCATTGTCATTGACTTAGTTGGCACACCTTGTACTAGTTCAATATCAATATTTCACATAAATGAAAAAATTAGTTTTGTATCTGCGCTAGCCATCCCTAATTTAGCAGTGTAAGACTAGAGGGAAGGCAGCTAGTCACCACCACCAACCGCCAACTCTTGGGCTACTCTTTTACCAACAAATAATGGGATTGACCATCACATTATAACGCCCCCATGGCTGAAAGGGCGAGCATGTTTGGTGGGACGAGGATTCAGACTCGTGACCATCAGATTGCGAGTCGAGTGCCCTAACCTCCTGGCTATGCCGGGCCTTGAAAAAATTAGTAAAAATTATTTAAATCAATGAGCATTTATAGCATATAACACCCAAATACAATGAATATCTAATCAATCTTCTTTTTTTTTTTATAATTAGTGCAGACTTACAGTTCCCACATCACGTTTTTTGATAAGGGAGCTTATACGTTAAATTAAGTATTTTTAAGCAATTATCTTTTTTTTAATTACAACATCAAAGAACATAATGTGGGAACTGTAAGTCTGCACTAGTTATAAAAAAAAAAGATTGATAATGGAGCTTACACTGTGTGTGTTAAAGTATAATAGATAGGAAGGAATTTATTGTAATTAAACAAAATATACAAGTGCTTAAAAATACTTAATTAAACATGTTCTCTATCAAGAGAAACCAAGCCAGAACCTTATGTGGGTTTCACAAAACAAAAATATATTTTAGTTCAGGTCAAAGTGTGAAGACTAACATCGCAAGAGCGATAACCAATAATCATTAATGAACTGCTGCATTTTAAAACCAGTAAGATAAGGTTTGTGCAAGAGCGATAACCAATAATCATTAATGAACTGCTGCATTTTAAAACCAGTAAGATAAGGTTTGTGTATAAATATCAAAGGTAAACATAGTCATAAAGCTTCCGATTCATCCGAACTTATCTAATTTCAAATTTGTACATGTACCATTTCATTCCAAAGCAAAAGTTATATGTAATACAAATTTTGTAATGTTAAAGAGACAAAAAAAAAAAGCTAAGACTAGAGATAATACAAGTTACTAAATCAAATTTATACATCAGTTATTCAAACTGTTTCCTAACTTAACAAACTGAATTATATTTTTAAGATGTTCTTTTGAAGATTCTCATCTATCTCACAACAATTTAATTCTATGTAAGAAGGGCCAAAAATAACTTTTCTTAACTATTTTCATGAAAATTAAGTTCTATTCTAATAGTCAGTAAATTATATGTTTTATGAGATATTGTGTGTTTCTCGAGTTATCATTTATAGGGTTAAGTAAAAAAAAAAAAATTGTTTCTCAGATTTTTTTCCTCAAAAATCCGGGTTGGGAATTTTTTTAATACTGGGTATGTATATCGAAATTTTGAATAATTTCTGTTACTTCACATACTTGTACATTTATATCCCTGTAATGTTTTAGTCTAACATTTACCTGTTTCATTAAATGTCTAAATAAGTGGCCTATACAGTTCAGTGAAGTAAACCTAGATAAATCTTACAAGACTGATTTTACTTTAAGTTTCTCTAAATAATAATAATTATAATCCCATGAGACAAAATTGATGCCAGCTTTCAGAATCATGGTATCATCCTTTCTTAATAACATACTCTTGGAAAATGGTCAGTCAGAACTTATTATTTTTAATCAGAAAGGTTATTTAAATAATTGCACAGTAATGTTTTGTGACCTTTTGACCTCTTGCCTGCATCAGTAATGATTTTTATAAAACAGGTAGCAACAAAATTAAACTTTCCATATTATGTAACAAACTGACCAAAATGTGGTTGAAATACCGTAAAACAGGTATGCTAATTTAGGCTGGTATTTGATTATATAAGTATTTTTCTATGTATTTAAACAAGTATTACAAGCTTCCATTTTTAATTGTATAAATTAAAAAGGAACAAACTAAACTAAATACATTGATCTACCTTACAAAGTCCATTAAACGCTAACTCATTTTATATGTTTATGAACATGGTGGGTTCTGTGTTTAAAGATTGTGTCTCAACATGAGGTTAGTTTGACATTTTTGCAATTGAAGTTAAGAATTTACAGAAAAAAAACGTTGATTTTGTTTTAAAGTTGAAACGGCAAGTTAAAAAAGAAGCATTGTGCTAAAAATCGGGTCAGCGAATCTGAGAAACAACTTTTTTTTTTAATGGCTCACGGAAATATTTTTAACTGAAATGTAATTTACTATTTACAAACATCTTAAAAATTAACATAAATATAGGTCAAATGGAAAAAGAAACTGAAAAACAAACAAAAAAACATTGATTCTAAACTGTGTACAACAAAACCATTTAGAAGTTTCAGGCTCTGTGGACCTGGATCAAGATAAAACCCAAATTTAATATTCTGGTGAATACAGTATGAAAAACAAGAAACTACTGTAATATTTACCATATTAAATGACAATTAAATCTTTAACATTAAATTAGTACCAATACAAGAAGGAAAGTTCAAGAAATATCAGTGTGTTCCCCAAAAAACATCAGCAGATACAACTTGTTTACAAATTAATTTAAAAAAAGTCATTTTAACTGATAGGAACTTTAAGTATACTGAATTGGGTTTAGCATTAGCTCTTTCACCACTTATTCTTTCCACAACAGATGGAATTATAATAAAACAATTTCATATTTCTTACATATGGAAAGCTACAACTATAAAATAACATTAATTTTGTTAATTTTTTCATTCTTATACTTTTTAAAAAATAGAATTTAAAAGCATACAATGAAGTTTAGGTTATATTTTACATAAACAGAGTAATAAACTTAAAAGCTTATATTTTCAAAGTTGTGATATGTGTGTGTATAGTAAGCTACAAAATAACATGAAAATAATCTCTAGTCATTTTTTAAAAACCTATAGCCTTTTTTTAATAACCTCTAACCTTTTTTATGATAACCTCTAGCTTTTTTAAATAACCTCTAACCATTTTTCAATAACCTCCAGCCATTTTTCAATAACCTCTAGCCATTTTTCAATAACTTCTAACCTTTTTTCAATAACTTCTAGCCTTTTTTCAATAACCTCTAACCTTTTTTTAATAACTTCTAACCTTTTTTCAATAACTTCTAACCTTTTTTAATAACCTCTAACCTTTTTTTAATAACTTCTAACCTTTTTTCAATAACTTCTAGCCTTTTTTAATAACCTCTAGCTTTTTGTAATACTTCCTTCTCTTAATTTATATCACTATTTCTGTTTCTGATACAGTTCATGATCTATTGAAAGTTCTCAATGTTCTTTGTGCAGGATAAAAATAACTATATACAACAGATGAGTGCACGAATCACATTAATAACATCCAGAAAAATACGTAGGTTCAAGAAGCTTTAATATAAAATAATAAAACCCTATAACCCAAACGTTTTCCAAAGGAAGACCTTTCATAAGCACTGGGTCATAGGGTTTTTATCATTTCACAATAATATTAAATGGGAACTCATAAACCTAAAATAGTTTTTACCAATGAGAATAAAAGTATTTGTAATATTCAAAAATCAGAATTTTGACCAAACTTTATGATTTTTCCATAATCAACAATTAAAAATATGTTTGTTTGTTTGTTTTCAGACTGCATTAATAAGTTCATCATAACACTATTAAAGTTAGCTTCCCTACCTTTTGTTTTGATTTCATTACAAGTACACTTTTTCTCTTTGTTTTATCATTGTGGACAGCAAACAGTAAGATGAGAATCAATTAAGAAATCCATCTATTCGTGTCAATACAGTGATAACAGAACACTTTTCAGTAATACTAACATAGCTGTTAACACAAGGGATTTCCAGTTTCCATAAAATGCAACAGCTAAATTAAAAACTATTAACTATCATACTTAGCTAAAGCTCCTCCCTCACTCTTGATATTTTTCTGTTTTTAAATGCTGTTTCAAACTTTTTGAAGATTTTACCGTCTTCTTCTTCTTCTTTTCTTCTTCCGTTGTTTTCTTGTAAAGCGTATTTTTAAAAATAAGTATGTTTTCTTATTAAGGTCTTTATATGTATCCTCAATTAAAGTTGAACCCAACCTTTTTCGAAGTAAATCTTGAAGATTTATTGTGTTAATGATTGCTTTTCTTTTGTTTCTTAAGTTTAAAACAAGGTACTTCAAATAGTCTTCTAATATCTGGAATTGCTGTATTGTCTCTAAGGAATGTTTCCTTTTCTTTCCATCTGTTCTCAGCTTCATTTCATATAATTTGTGTTGAACCAAATTAATCTGTTTAAGAATAAGTCTTTGTTGGATATAATGATGTTTAATTTCTGCAAGAGAATGTAGAAAGTTCTGAGTAACACATTTTTTGTTACACATCACGGCTGCAGCCTGCCATCTCACAGTGAACTGAGCATTAGTTAGAATAAACTGAAGGAGATTAGTAGTTGTCAAATGCAACGATTGTGGGAACTTCATGCTTTCGGCTTTCCTAAAAAGTTTAGAATAAACTTCATTAAAAAAGAATTGTTCAAAAATAACTCCACGGCAAATTTTATATAAAATTATTTGAAAAGTGACAGTCTTTCTGCCTAAAGTTTGATGGTGCTTCATATCATGAAATTATAATTTAAAAATTCTAGCTTTCTACCTATATTTTGTCTATACTTTAAATTCTGAAAGAACTAAAATGAAATGGTTTTTTCAACTTTTCTCAGTAAAACTTATCAGAAATGAACTGTAACAGTATGATGCCACCTTTTTTTGGTTGGTCCATTAAAAACATTTTTATGAGAACAAAATAATATGATTAATATAAAATTTCAATGATCGAAATGTTTTTACAAATTTATCAAAACAACTTCATAGTCAGAAAACAACAGTTATACCTTCAATTTGTGTATATATCAAACAGAAACAACTGTATTAACTGAACTACAACTGATACAACTTTCTCAACTGCAGAGTTTGATGACTACTTCTTCCACATTTTTTTTAAGGGAAAATAAATTATACAAAGAAATATTTTTTTGGCCATCCCTTTCACACAGATTTCAGGAGTTTTTTTTCTAACCAAATACCTCAGGAGCTAAATTAACAAATACACTTACCAACATGATTTTTTTTTAAAGAACATTAAACCTATCTATTTTCTCAATCATTTACATATTTCTGTTGTTGAGATTTACTATATAACAGATCAACAGCATGGATAATCATAATACAAATCGGAAGGTATTTCACGACATATTTTACATACACCCTGAAAGTCTGTAGATTTAAATTATGACAGTCCTCTACAATTAAAAAACAAATCATATGAGCAAACTTGGTTAGATTTACTTATGTACATAAAAAAGGTAATTATCTGGAATTCTTTCATATTATATCTTCATAAAACTTTATTTTAAAACTAGTTCCATTACAATTATATCATAGCATAACAAAGCAATTTTTTTAATGTTTTAACCCTTTCCACATGGGTCAAAGGCCACAATATTGCATTTGTTGACATTAAAAATTTTATTGAACTACTATTTTATGAATTTATATCAATAAGTTTAGTATCAAACTGTAGATTATAAATTTTAATATTATACATTATTTAATTTCTTAGTTTAAAATATTGAATGCAGCACTGGTTCAAATTAGGTGTTTGTGATGTCAAAATACAATGTCTATAGTGTCGTAGAAATTGGGAACTCAGATTACCAATATTGAGAAGCTAGAATATAAAATAAAAACCTCATATCTTTTCTATTTGCTGAGATATCACTCATGTACTGAATTAAACACAGTGGGCCCACTCACCTCTTTCCAATTTTGGAAATGCTTCCTTATATACATTTACTTCTATCTATGACATGTGAATAACCAATCAAAACTCAGATTGTCCCCCTAGTGGCACTCTTGGTCCTTTTCAAATATTACGATGTCACCTCTTTCTTTCAATACAAATTTTAAAGCTGGTAAGGTGCGACTTTAGTCTGCCCGAAACTTAATATTTTTTTAGACCCAAATACGACTTGATTACTAAACTTGATACATTATAGTGGAATATATATAGTAAGTTATGATTTTTTGGTATTTCAAATTTGTATATATATATAAAACCTAAAAAAATTTATTCATTTCACATCCCCCACGTGTGAAATTTTATAAGGCTTAGCAACCTACATCAAGCAACAAACGAGTACAAAGATCGTAACTAGAAGAGATAATTGTTTGCTTTACTTCTTTATTTACTGTTCTATGTTTTAAGAAAAGTAAGTTTAAGAACTTGTTTGTGAATAGTAATAATGTATATACATATATAATGTATAATAATTGAAATGTGACTGTATATTACAAAATACTAGTCCACTAAAACAAAGCCAAGACAGGTCACTTTGTAAAGACTATAGGTCAGTTTTATATTATTGGAAACAGTAACATGAGTGCACATGCAGCGAGTCATTGTAACTTCTGTATTGTTAGCCAGGTACAGATGAAAGGTCAATATAATGAAGATAATAAATATATATAAAGGTATAATGTTATGAGATTTAAGCTATTTAGTCTAAACATTTGTGTTTTCGTGTTATAATTTGTAGTTATTCTAGAATGAAAAAGGCATAATTTATATCTATCTCCTAATTTTTTATGGTGGTTACGAGATCGGTCAAATCGACTGAACCTGTACAGAGGTTTGTTAGTGAAAATAACAGATAAAATAGTTTTTCTTAAGAAACATTTGATAACTATCTGGACGTTATAAGGGTTATGCATGTGAAATATGAAAATTTTCTGATATATAAAAGTATTTTTATCTTAAAATGAAAAATTACTTTGCATGTTGGATAGGCAACATGTGAAGAGAAAAAAGACAAGAAAAACATTGCTTAACAAACCTTAAGACTTAATAAAAAATTTCATATCTTGCATATGAAAGCATTGTAGAGTTTACTGATAATCTGCCAAATTTTGTTAACATTCGCTTACTAATTTGAATTTTATAGCATGAAAACTATAACAAGCACAAAATGGTTACGAGACCATGCTGAAAGAGTTAATAAAGAAGATTTTCTTGAATGATCACTTGTATTCCTTGTAAAAAAACAATTATTGTGACACCTTCCAATGGTCTGAATGTGATTTGGGGTAGAAAAAACATCAAACAACACACTAATATATATATATATATATATATTATATTAAAAACTCTTTCTTAAAAGGAGTTATTGTCTTTAATACATCATTCATTGCATTCTTCACAATTTTTATTTGCCTCCAATACACAAGGACTACTTGCACAAGCCATCCCTAACTTTGAACCAATAGACTAGATGGAAGGCAGTTAGTTAACAGTTAGGTTAATTCTTGGGAAACTGTAACTTTATAGTTGGATTTGAGTATCTCTTATAATGCACTCACAGTCCCAAAATGAGTAGCTTGATTTTGCACCAATGGGACACAAACCATAGACCTTTAGACCTACAGTCCAACATACTAACAATCAAGTCACACCTAGCCCCTTCTGAAATTAATACAACTCTGCCCCCCACCCCTCCTTGTTTAGTTACACATATTTCTTAACTGAAAATCACCTTGTACCTTATCATAATATACTAATCCTACTTTAGAAAAAATAAGTCCAACAATTATCCAACCATCTTGTAGAAAATGTTTCACCACTGGAGTACAAACATACAAACAAAATAGTCAAACGTTACTATAAAGCACAGCTTCGTATTTGATGCAAGTTTCTGGGATTCATTTATTCTCTTTAAACACGATAAACAGATTGATAAAATTATGTTCTGTACGTATATTTCAATTTTAAACCTGAAGGCAAAAGATAAAAATGTGCAGTGAGATTTTCTACAAATCAAAAGCTAGATAAACTCTCAATGCCTTTGTAGTTACTATTTGTTTAGTGAGGATAAATTACACTGTACAAACAATAATTCTTTGCGGTGAAATGCTTACCTACGAGCTGGAAAGAATATCAAGGTAGGGTACTTTTCTACCGTATATTCCCAAGGAAGATCATTTTCATCTCCGTTAATTCTGAAATTCACTTTTAATCAATATATTCTGTTCATAAACTCTTAACAGATTAATAAACAGATATTCATCAAATACAATTGTTACGTACTGTTACACAAATTATGTTTGGTATCCTCGTGCCTGAGAAGTAATGTAATAACCAGACTGAAATGTTACGGTAACATACAAAATCCTGCACAATCATTTTAGTTCCATAAATTTAGCACCAGATACTCACAATTTTTAACTTCAATTCCTTAATATCAACCACTTTTGTAATAACCAGACCGAAATGTTACGGTAACATACAAAATCCTGCACAATCATTTTAGTTCCATAAATTTAGCACCAGCTACTCACAATTTTTAACTTCAATTCCTTAATATCAACCACTTTTGAGAAAATGTAGTTTAAACATTTAAATGTTAAAGGAGAAATGCTACAAAAGTGAAATTACAGAATTATCTGTTCAGTACGAGTGATGCTACAAAAATTAGCCCATTTTGATACGTTCATAATTTCATCAAATTGAAGATAACACAGACAGTAAAACACTAGTTGGTTACAGGATTTATTTTCATGATATTTAGCAATTTTTTGAAAATATGGATATAAAGATAAAACATCACTGACAGTTAACACAAAAACAGTATTTTTCAATCGAGTCGTAGATAAAGGAATACTTCATTGCCAGTACTAATGATTTAAGTTTTGCTGCTCAATTACCATGCAATATAGTAAACAGATATCTAATGTTACCAAAGTTTTCCTCCAATAACAAAATGAAAATTCAAAACGTATTATAATACAATAAATGTTACAGTTCAAAAATATTTAATACTTGCACCTTTCTTTCATTATTAATCTTAAAGATTCAGCACAACTTCTTATATTGCTAGTACAGAGAAATAATTAGAATGTTAAGATTATTATCATACAATTATTATCATTGTTTTAATACCAGCAATATATTCTAATTGTAAGTAACGTATTATTTCTTTGTAATAAAAAAACAACTAAAACAGTTCTAGCATATAATTGTATTACATTAAAAACAACTATTATTTTACCTTGCAAATAAAATTCCTGAGATTCCAGAGAAATACTTTGCCACAGTTAGGTAAATATGGGAAGTACCTTTACAAAATCCACACCAGGGGGCATAATAGAGGAGTAAAACATCCTAAAATAAAATAACAACTGAAGTATCTAAAAAGCATACATCACACTTTAAACTTTTTAAGCTCTTGTGAAAAAAACAAATCTGTATTATTACCAAGTTATAAATGATATCCAACTGTGAAATAATGAATTTGACACATACTACAAGTTCGTTTTGTGCATGATCTAGAATCCATCAACAAATCTTGATTTTATTTATAAAATAAAAAGTGTAAATCCACTGACAACTTAAACTGACAGGTCATGGTTCACAATCATGTGAAAAAATGTAATCCTTATATCCCTGAAATGGCATTTCATGTGTTGGTGCAATGCAAGTGTGGTGTCAGACAAGTTTTGAACTACATTTAATTTTTTTTTTAATTGATTACTATTCCAAAGAGAAATGTTTTGTAAAGCTTGAATACAGGGAATTATTAGTTGCCTATTACTATAACTAGAAAGCAGCTACTTATATGCTACATGGTATAAACAGACACCACAAACTTCACAGTGAAACCACATCGGACAACGGCTGAAATCTGTTGGTCCTGACTCGAGTCTCTTGTTAAACGTTATTTATTTTTGCCCAGTGAATGAGCTTCTGTAACTAATTATACGTATTTAACTTTCTTACGTACACAACATGTTAGTAGTTACATACAATGGGGCAGATGGCACTGTGGAGTTCAAAATGTATATGTCAAGACAAGTTCAGGATGAAAAGTGCAAAATTCGGGTCAGAAGCTCAAATAACTATCTTCAGTGATGTCTGGGGGAACCCTAAGAACACACAGTAGTAACTTTGCCAGATAAAATGTTAAACTATGTAAAAATATATTTGTATTATGATTAATAAACCTAGTGAAGTGCCACGAGAGTCAAATTATTCATATTTTTTCCCCCACAAACAAACGAAAGAAAAGAGGTTTAGGCTGGGGAGTGATGTGGGTCGAAAAGCACATGGGTAGAAAGACCTAAATTAATATTAGCTTAAATAATACACAAACATCTCAACAGAAATTCCTATTAAACATTAACTCTGTGTTAATATTATCTGACAGCTCAAAGCCAATGAACTCCATAAAAATATTGAACTTTTTGTAAGCAGAGACAAAGCTTCTTATTTTTTTTTACTTTTGTTTTTGCAAATAACTCATTTAATTTAGGACAAAAAAGTTGATTTTGTCTCTAGGATTTTGAGGCTCTAGCACTACCACCACCACCACCACTTATAATAATCACAATTAAAAATTACGAAATCTATTAAAATAAAACTATATGGAAGTTGCAACAAAATTCCATCTCCTAAACTTAAAGATTTGGTTAGACAAAAATATTTGATTTTTTCAGCAAAATGAATTTTAAAGACTAGAAATATTGTTTTTTTAGTTCTAAACTATACAATGAAAGATAATAAACTGCAAAGTGAGATTACTAATCACTTTGGTTAAAAACTTTGATTTGGACTTTCATTACAATGAGACTGAAACTCTCAACTTGTTTTCTCTGGAGAAGAGAAGGATCAGAGAGTATTGGATTGAAATGTTTAAGATTATTAAGAGTATTGATAATATAGATCCATCAAACATTTTTTGTGTTTTGCAGTGAAAAGAATACGACAAGGGGTCATAAATTCAAATTTTGACAGCATGGGAGTCGTCTGCAGTTTAGACAGTATTACTTTTGAAACAGGGTGGTTGGCTTTTGGAATGAGCCAAGTTCAAGAAAATATTGGATAAATACACGAGTAGTATTGGGTGGTTATAGTTGGGAGCTGGAAGGGGACATCCTTTTTGTCCCTTTAGATTTTTATGAAATTTATAAATTGTATACAATATTTTTTTGACAGCTATTAAAAAATGGTTACAAAATGAAATTAATGTATGCAGTTCTACCACTTTACCTTGTTGGGATTCATTACTACTCTGTTGAAAGTATCCGTGGTCACCTCATGGACACAGACATTTTCACTGTCACGTGTCATTACACATTCTCGTGTTTCCTTAATCGTGCTTCTTAAGTAACGATCCAACAATCCTCGGGTGTAATTTGCAATGAAATCCACTTCATAAAATTGAAAAGTCATTAAAAAATTAGAAACAACTTCTACAGAATCCTTACTAGTTCTCTTTATATTATACCAAAGCACACTTTATTGCACGTTTCACTTCAATAAACAGACTTTGCACGATATGAATTACTGTAAAATATATTCTAAGAATGTAACAGAGAAAAAACTTACTCAGTGATTTTTTGTCTATTTCTTCCTTCAGTAGGTAATGTGTCTCTTTCTGAAAATTTAGAACATTTTAGTTTACGTTTTGTCCATTAAAATCTTTGTGTAAGCATTTTACTGCTAAGAAAAACACATACGTTACTAATAAAGAAGTCAATGGATCTAAACTTAACATTATTAACGTATGACTTTTATCCCAAACTTTAGGCCTATCGGTTGTCAATACATCACCATCATTAGTATCTGTTGCGTCTTAACCCTTACATAAATGTATTACTTAGTATTATTATTAATCCTAAATTATTTCTTGTCCACTACATAATAAAGTGTAATTATCTAGTACATAATAGAAAAGCAGATGCAAATCTTAATTAGTTTCTATTATACACTGGAAACCTTGAACAAAAATACTTGTTATTATCTCAAACCCACAGGTACAAATAACATGCCATTTGAATTCTGGCGTAAACTTGTTCTTTTATCGTTTGTTTTTATAATCTGTACTCCATTTTAGTGAGAGGTAAAAATCTTGTTTTTTCTCTTTGTTTTTATTATGGTTACATGTAACTTCTGATGAGAGCAAGCTACTTAGATACATCAGAACTTAAAATTAACCCAATGTTTAGGATACCCCCACTCAAGTTCGTGATGGTGACAGGACGTAATGTTGCTTGATCTTGGTAAATATAGAGCAAACTCTGGTTTGATTAATACACTTCACATATTTATGTATGCATACATCATTTACAAATTTAACCTTGCTAACTGTCTTCTCTGCGTAACTTTTAAATTGCATTTTACGATTCAATAACTCTTTGAGGAATCAACTTAAGCAGCAAATAAGCTACGGTCAAAAATGTACATTGACAGAAAAAAAGACAAATCAAAAAGAAAAGTAATAATAATAAGTAGCATATTTACAAAACAAATCGAAACACAAAAATCACACAATATATTAATATTAATATGCAAATTACAGGAAAGTGAAAAACTACACAGTAACATAACAGGTGTAACACAAGGCATATTTCTGTTGAAAGTTCAGACCTTGCAAAAGATATCACATTCCAAACATACATTTACTTTACATATTATGATACTCCGACAGTCTGATTACATATTAATGAAAGGTTAATTGATATTTTTCATAAAACTAAGCTGTTTTTTTTACATAGCTACCCAAGAGCTATGTGCACTAGTTATCCCTAATTTTGAATGATAAACTAGAGGTGAGGCAGCTAGTCAACAATTTCTACTGCCAACTTGCGGGCTACTTTAATCACATAGTGGTATTTTAATATCATTCTTATAATGCACCCATGGCCTCAAAGTGAAAAGTACTTTTTTTTTTATTGTTGGAAATGGGGTGTAAATCATGTTACCTTGATTTCCCAGTCCAACACGCTAGCCATCGTGCTACACTCTGCTAAAGTTAGTATTATTAAGATAACATTTAATAAAATCTATTGTTTTTCCTCCAAGAAACTCTTTCAAGAACTTACTTGAACCTAGCTTGAAACTGACACATGCATGTAATTGTTATGGTATTTTCTTTATTTAATAATACAAAAAAATGGTGAAACAAAAATAAGTGTAACTGAAAAGAAACATTTAGCAGCTTCTGGTCACAAAAATATAATGATCTATGGTCAGTGGTCCAGCTAGTTACCAGCAAACAACATTATAATAGCTTGCCTGAATTAACTATGAATTTGATTTATTGCCTGGATTAACTGTTAATCTGATTTGGGCCCGGCATGGCCAGGTGGTTAAGGTGGTCGACTTGCAATCTGAGGGTCACGGATTCGATTCCTCGTCCTGCCAAACATGCTCGCCCTTTCAGCCGTAGGGGCATTATAATGTGACGGTCAATCCCACTATTCGTTGGTAAAAGAGTAGCCCAAGAATTGGCGGTGGGTGGTGATGACTAGCTGCCTTCCCTCTAGTCTTACACTGCTGGCCATCATGTAGTTTTGCACGAAATTCAAAAACAAAACTAATCTGATTTATAAATGTAAGCCACAGATACAAGAAGGTGTAAACAACAACTTTGTTCAACACAAATTGCCAAGGTTTACACCTAATAACTAAATTTAAAAAAATAATAATAAATACCATATTGAACCTTTTAAAAACATTTGATTTTGTTATGAAAATACTAATTAAATATTTTTTTATCTTATTTCAAGTGTCAGAATTAAAATGATGAAACATGTGAAATAAAATTATACAAACATTTTGTTGGCATTACGTATACTAAAACCACTGCACACTATTACAGATAAAAGGTGGTGGTACAAAATGCTTTTGAATAGGGTTACCACATTCCAAGAGTTAAAGACTGGGACATATCCCCCCCCCCACCCCCAATATGAAGTAACACTGTAACAGCTCTAATAGAGTTTAACTTATGATAACATTTTTTAAATATTGTGGTGTTTATTATCTAGTTTCACAAAGAAACAAAAATTCTCAAGAAAAACTAGAAACAACTAGGAAAGTTGTTTAACAAATCAAATTGTTAATACAAAATACTGAACAAACACAACTGAAATTTGGAAATGTCTGCCAAATTGAGAAGTGAAGATTGGGTTCTACAGAGGGAGTCAGGTGTGTTAAGAGGGTGTGTGTTGTCACTCCTATCGGTTGAGGTTGTCACATGCTAATTTGCATGCTACAATGAAGCTGTGCCATGTGCAAACACATAGAGGTAGGTAGGAACACAAGGTTGGTGGCGAGCAAAAAGTTGCATATACAGAGGGCAGTAATCATTGAGAAAAGCTATCACGGGAGAAATATCATATCAAAATTTACGTTTGAAAGTCACAATTTAATACTTTTACTGTTTCTGATTGCAGCAAAAAGAAAAAAGGCTAAAAAACATGATCAATCCCAGTTTCACTGGGACATCTGGTAACGTCACTTTTGTACCAGTCTTAGTTTTTTAAAAACCAGCTTTAAATAAAAAAATAAGTATGTTTTAGATTCAATTTAAGAATTTATGAAGGAAATATTCATTGAAATTTTACAAGAATGCCTAAAATTTTTACATAAGATATAGAAAAGAGAATTTAAAAAATCCAAATCTAGATCAGCTCTATATTTTTAATATTTTATGCTACACCTTTTATACTTATACTTAGCTAGAAGTGATAAAAAATCACTTGTTGCTGTCATAGATTATACAGAATATTATCGAATTCTAAACTGTTCTTTTGTAGGTTCCAATAAATAAATAATTTTATGTGTCTCTGAGCAGCATTTCTCATCATACAGTTTAGAGGATATTCTGTGCAATTAAAGTGAATGAACAGTTGTATCTTTCCATGCTGAAACAAAACCTAAACTGTTAATGAAATAATTTTTTTACTATTAAAGAGCAATTTAGTATGTCCACCTTATTCAAAACTCATAATTTCTAAATCAATTTTTCAGCTGAATAAATAACTATCATTATTAATAGAATGGAAAATCGTGTATTTCGTTACGTTGAAAAATTTTCTAGCTAGGTCCACCAATAATTTTATATCATGTTTTTGAAATTCATTAATGGTAAACTTACTTTCATGTCAAGAATTAAAACGGCTGTTTGATGTTTTTCTTCCATTATATTAATTCCTAAGTGTTCTGGAAATGTGTGAAACTGAACAGCATCCAACGCAATCACTTTTAAAGTAATGTTGGTTTGACAAACAAATCCTGTGAAATTTTCATACAGATCACCACTAAACTGTGTATTTGGAAAATCAATGTCACTGTAACTGAGGGCAACCTTCAGGCACTGGCACTTTTGTTTCTGCACAGTAGAAACCATTTGAATCACTCTGTCATCTCTAACTTCTGAAGTGTTGGAACTTGATACTTCTCGATCAGCTTTCGCATTCTGTAATAATTAATAATACATATTAAAACATAAATGATTAGCTAAGCCAATACACAACTAGTTTTCATCATTACAACTTAATAAAATCATATAGATATCAAATCAAATAAAAAAAAATATATCAGTCAGAACACAGCCTTCCCTTATTAAGATGTGGTTCCTCCAAAACAAGAGAGCAATCTTCACGTAGTAATTGAAGGTCTATCTCTGCCTGTTCTCTTCGCTGGGATAGCTTCTGCACCACAGATGTAATGTAGGTCGAGGAGTTACAGTTGTAATAGTCCAAAACAACTTCTCGTAGCTAAATTTGCAGACCAATAAAATTAAGTTACTATAGCAACATTGAAACGTATTTTATCTATTCAGCTAAATTGTTGCTCACATTTAATATTTTTTTTATAACAAATGTTTGGTTTACAATCACAAAATTTAAACTAAGCACAGATAAATAATAAAGAAAATGTTTAACAAAAACATTAAAAAAATGTATCCTTTTTTTTTCTGTCATTGCTTTCTTTGTTTCAGTAGTTTTTTAAATTGTGATCAATATAAAATTTTAACAATAACTTGCAATTCCATATTCTCATTTTTTAAGTGTTGGAGTTTCTAATGTCAAAAGGAAATTAACGTCTTTCATTTACAAGTAAGTATCCAACTTCCATGAAAATGAAATTTTAACTTCAAATTATTTTTCTTTGTTTTGGATATTGATGAAAAGATGCAGAAGGGCTACCTGCACTAGCCATCCCTAATTTTGAACTGATAAAACTAGAGGGAAGGCAGCTAGCTAGTCAACAGCACCTACCTCCAACACTTGAGCACTCTAATCAAACATTGGAATTTGACCATTACTCTTATAATGCACCCACAGCCCCAAAGAGTGGGGCACAATTTTACAGCAAAGTTATTAGTGTACTAAGTTCACAAACAACTATAATAAAATATTCAGATTATTTTACAATAAAACACTATGCAAATAAATTACAATAAATAATTGTACTTACCAAATCATAATATGGAGAGACTCCTCGGATCAGGTTACGAGGAGTAAATAAAACAAGAGTTGGATAGTTTTCAATCAATCCTGAAAGCATTCTGCTCTTCGATTGTAATGGACAAATCCACTTTATCAGGTGAACCTTCACAGAATTGACAAATTGAAAATCTAGATTGAAAAATTGTAATTCTAAAGCAAATGAAAAAGTTAAGTATAATCTTAATACCTCATGTGATGAAGAAAAAAAGAGCACATTAAAATTTAGATTACTAAAAAGAATGTTACATTTCAAAACACCATCTAAAATATTACTAAAAATAAAGCTATGATTGATCCTCTTTTCGACTTAATTTCATTCACTTTAAAGACTGGATAATTAAACTACTATGCTCGTGTTGTTTATTCTTATATGTGTGATAGCTGCAAGGTTATCTATACTGGCAAAAAAAGACTACTCAAGGCAGGAATTTTGTTGAAAGGAAGAGAAATTAATGTGATAGTTGCCTGCTCTTCTCAACAGGGTGGGCTTAGGAACAGTTATTCCTCTTCAACTCCGCATGTAAAAATAATTAGCTACAATGACTGAAATCACGTTTAGAAACATTGATGGGAATTTTTTGAGACAAAGCTGTGAAGGAGGTTGGAGAAGGCATGATGGAGGTTTTCTTTTCCAGTGGTTGTTGGTGATGTGCAGAGATGTTGTGGCCATCGATGGGGAGTCATAGGTGAAGAGACGAGACAGCGGCATTCATTCAAAGTCTTCAATTTAAATCATTTTGTATTAATAAGACAGTGGAATTACTCAAATATTAATTCAGAATTTTACACTTTTTTGAA